TAAACTCGGAAGCGATCAGAGGCGCTTTACCAGACCTCTCCTGACAAACGATGAATTCCATCGGCGTCGTCGACATTCCGTCTCTGACAGTCGTGACCAGCAGCAAGTCGGCTACGCTGAGCAGAGCAAAGTACTCTTCTCGCTCGATGATCTGGTGATAATGATGCACAGGGGTGAAGTTAAGACTGCCAAAGTCTCCATTGATCTGACTGACGAGCTCCGACACCTGTCGTTCGAGCAGGGGCGAGTCGTTGAGTGCAGGCGCCGTGACCTGAATGAGCACGACCTGACCTCTCCATTCGGGAAATTCTTCGAGGAGCTTGTAAAACGCTTGCAGCTTTTGTATCACCCCGCGAACGACGTCAAGCTTATCTCTCCCGATGATTAGCTTTTTCCCCTTGTACATCTCTCGAATGGCCGCAATCTTGGGAGCGACTCCGGGCGCGCGACTGTCCCTGTCTATCTTTTCTGCATCGATCCCTATCGGGTTGTAGCTGATGTTGGTGATGTGGCCATTGCTGGATTCGACGGTGTTGTTGGATGCTTCAAAGCCGCAGACTCTGATGCAGGAGGACAAAAAGTGACGGGAGTAGGAAAATGCCTGGAAGCAGGCCAGATCAGCTCCCAGCATGCCCTCAATGATCTCGCGTCGCTCTGTAGAGTGTGGCAAAAGGCGTCAGCGCGAGAAAGCAATGGATTCGTTGGGTGAAGATAGCACTCACGCGGCAAGCAGCGGAAGATCTCGCTCGAGGGAAAGGGTGCATGGACGAACAGTCCGATGTGAGCGTCGGGGACCATTCGTCGAAGCATCTGAGGCACGAGGAGCAAATGGTAGTCGTGTATCCAGACCATGTCTCCCGCCTTGTATTCTTCGGCTATGCGCTTGGCGAACGCCTCGTTGGCTGCTACGTAAGCATCCCACGCATGTTCATCGTACGTCATTCGGCGATCTGCCGGAACGTCTTGCCAGAGCAGATAATGTAGCAGCGGCCACAGCGCTGGAACGTCGGTGGAAGGGAACAACGCGCGTCAAAATCTGCTTGTGTTGCATCTTCACAGACGTACGCATTGATACCACTCACTGGTCTTGCAATAGCCTTCGTAGTGTCCATGCGCAACATTGTGCTCCAGCCAGACGGGCACGTACTTGATCCCATGCTCTTGAACAGCAGACGCAGCATTCTGACGCGCCGGTCCATCCGGACCGATAGGCTCTGCTCCATTCATGCGTGGAGTGGGCACCTTGCCCACAGCCTCGCTCGGTGCGCCCTTGGGATCGAGCAAGGGCGCATCCCTCGCAGCCCAGTTGTCAGCGCTATCCAGCCCAGCCAAAATGGCTTCAATCTCTTTGCGCTCTTCGGCTGTCGTCTGACTGGCTTCTTTGCGCTCATCATTGCGTGCCTGCGCCGCAAAGGAAATCTCGCCTGGCCAACCGACAAACGTCTGCCTATGGGTGGCGCACAGGCTCCTGATCCCGCTATTGAGGGCGGTATGTCCTCTGCGCGGGGCCAGCACCCATTGAGGAGGTTTGACAGGCTCGGGCGGCGGAGGTGGTGTGCCCACAGTAGCCACGCGCCGAGAAGGAGTGCGAGCTGGCGAATTGGCATCCGACACTGCGCTGTACTTGCTGTCGTCGTCCGCATTGGCAAAAGTGCTGAAGCTCAAATGACGAGCGCTAGCCACGCTCCAAGTCGATCCGCGCCTGGACCCTGCGGGTGTAAAGGTGTCCTTCTCGTCCTCTTCCTCCTCATCATCAACTACCGGCGTCATCATCCAAGCCTTTCTACCAGCCTTGGCCCGGCTTCTGGCCTGATTCTCTGCCAGTCTCCGCTCCAGATCTGTAGTGTCGCTCATGCCATCTATGAAGCTTCCCTGACGCGGCTTGTTGGCCAATCGTCGCTCTTCCGCATCCTTGGCCGCATTCATGGCTGCTCTTCTCGCTCTCGCCTTTGCTGCCATGGCTGCGACCGTAGCAGTAGCGCTGACTTTCTCCTCCCTCTGACGTTCATGCTCCACCTCTGCCAAGGCGCGAATGACAAAGGGGATGTAGTGGCTGACGTGAATGACCCTTCCGCTCAGTTTGGCATCAGGATGACGAGCATTGTAGTCGTTTTGAAGATCCGACACCTGAGCTCTCAAATCTTGCAGCGATTCGAACTTGGACGAGGCGCCCAGATCGCCCGTCGCTGCAGTCCCTACACCCATTCCACCTATGCCATCTGCCGTATTGTGCACAAGCTGCCCTGCTTCCGGTAATGCTCTATTCTCGCAAGGTTGCGTCGTTTCCGAGTCCGACTCGCAGATGGAGAGTTTGGCAGGTCTGCCGGTGGGACCGCTGCTTGAGGAGCTGCTGCCTGATCTCGCAGGTGTTGCACCGCCCGCAGTCTTTCCTGACGACCCTCTGGACGCAGTCTCGGGACCCGACAGATACTGTGGAGGATCCTCGACGAATGGGTCGGGCGTGAGGGGAGGGGCGTTAGCTACCATCTTTATACCTTTGCCAGGGGCGAGCGAGCGTCGATCAGGAAACGTGCAAGAAGGCGCTTGGTCCGAGCGCCCCAATGATCGAGTGGCCTAGCTCCAGCAGAAGACGTCGAAATCAGCTTAGAGAGATCGAGGTACAGTCGTGAATGAGGTCGCTATACCGGCTCCGCGGCGTACAATCGCGAAATGTTTTCGTCGCGGCGGCGTGATTGATTGCGGCCGGGTGGGCGCAATCAGCAATCAAGTTGGGTGGGATGTGATGACGAGTCAAGCTGGCGAGCCTTGTAGGTGGTGTGACAGCAGTAAAGCAGTCACAGTGGCGCAATCAGGTGCGCGTGAGATTAGGCTGCGTGGAAATTTGAACGAGCAATCTTGAATGAATCACAATTGTGAATGGCTCGAAGTCTTGAATGTGTAGATTAAAGTGCGAGAGTTGCTGCTTATCTGCTACTTTAGTCAAGAATATCGATGATGCTTGTTGCTTGATCACGTTGAAGTGATACGATGCGCGATTCGTGATTGGCGAGACAGAAGATTAGAAGATGAGCGCTCGTCATGCGGACCACGATCTGGACAGCAATCAAGAATGTGAATCAAGATGTGTGATTCAAATTTGATTGATTGACTACGCACTCGTACCGGTACCGGTACATGCAGCCTCAGTCACGAGTCACCAACTTCGCGCTCGAGACTCAGACTGCGCGTCCCCACGGGCCGTGCAGCCCACAAAGTCGTGAGTAGGCTCAACGAGTCGTGAGTAGATCTGCTGATGAGTGAGTCAAGAGTCTGAGTCTGAGTGTAGCTCGATCGATTCACGATTTGGGACGCACGCCGGCGTGCCACCGCCGCGCGCCGCACGCTGGTGCACGGCGCCGATGCTTCTGCCATTAATTCAAACAGTCAAAGTCGCGCCTTGTGCCGCGAGACAAGAACAATCACGAATAAACTGCAATAAGCTATACCGGTACAGATAAACGGCGCGGCGCGTGGAGGTGCTGCTGCTCGCCGCCGCGGTGGTTGTCCATCAAAATCGTTGGGCAGCGTCATCGCGCGGCGCCCACGCGCAAGGCTGCTGCTGGCGCGAGATAGCCCGCATGACCGCGCTTATACCGGCCGACAGCAAGAGTCCAACCATCCGCGCGCGGCGCGCGCTGCCCATGCAATTCGCGTGACGCGCGGTCAAAGCTTTCTTTCGATCGAGATATTCATCACCATTCAATTTTGACTGAGCACACCCGTGTGCATTACCTTCCCCTCAATAAAGCCGCCCATCATCTCCCCACACTTGCACCTCTGCGTACCGGCTATTGTCTTTGTTCCAGACGAGGGCAGGGGTTGTAACCACGACTCTCAAACGCGCTTCACGTCGCCATCTCGATCATCGCCCCTGTGCGGCATCAAGATCGAGCGGACGATTCCACGAGTGGACCAGCGAGGCTTCCACCAGCTCCGTCGGTCGATCTACAAGGTAACCGCAAACCAAAGCAAGGCCGCTCTGCGCAGAGTAGCTGCGACCTCTCGCCCGTCGGTCAATCAACAGCGACGAGAGCAATTAAGCCCTTGTCTAAGCGCCAGCAATCAACTCCAAACTCGCTCCGTCGTCCACATCCGCGTACCGCTCCACAACACACGTCATCCAGGTGGGAGTCGCATCTCACGCGATGTCGAATTCATACCCTTACCATCGGCCTGAGCGCTATGACGCAGGACAGCAATATCGCTCCCAAGCATCAGACAGAGAATGGCGGGTGGTAGACAACGGCAGAGCCCCAAGGCCCTCATACGACGATAGCACCGAAAACGATCATAGGAGATCCACAGCTGGTCCCTCATCCAGAAGATTCGCTAATAGTAGTATCAAGGACGACTCTCGAGATAGGCAAATGTCATCCGGATCCCCTGGATCGCACAATCGGGACAGGCGCAGATCTCCTGCAACCGACGCGCGCCGCCCCTCTGCATCCAATGAGCCGGATCGCGATCGTGCCGTGTCCAGCAGGCCAAGCACTCCAAGGGGTCCTCGCACAGAACGAGAGAGGAAGCGACAGGCGACAGAGACACCTGCCTCGAGCGAGGTCTCCAAGTCCGCGCATGAAGCAATGCAACAGGCAGCATCGGATTTCATCGAAGCTTTAGTCGGCTTCGAGCCAACAAGGTTGGAACTTCAGGAAGTACGTCTGAAAGCTATTTTGCGGTGTGGTGCCGGGACGCGCTGCCTGAAGCATTGCTGAGATTATCCCTTCCATTGCTCGCTCTTCACAGGCAAGAAAGAAATTCGATCAAATGCAAAACTTGCGAAATGCACGAGACAAACGGGGCGAAGAAGAGACTCCGATCCACGCTGAGCAGTTCAAGACCGCCAAGGAACGTCTGCAAGCTGTGGACGTGAAGGTCCAGGATGCCAAGGCGGCGATCTTGAAAGCCCATCAAGAGGTGCAGTATTCCATCATACGCTCCACACGAAACGAGACGAAGAGGCACTTCGATGACATTGAGAAGAGCATCCCCTCACCACAGCTCATCAGGAAGACTGCTGAAGATGTTGGTGACTCGGTTCGGAAGGATATTACGAGCAAGGAGGAGATCGACAAGATGGTCAAGAATCAGGTTCAGAGCATGGTCCAACTTGAACGCCGGGGTCTGACTAGCGCTTTCTTGACGAAGGAGGAAGGCCGCATTCTGATGAGAGATGTCGCTGACGAAGCTCTGAAGGCCTTCGACCCACCACCACCGCCTCCGCCTCCTGTAGCCCCAGCAGCGAGTGCTACCGCCATGTCTGCTCCCGCGACATCAAATGTGTCGGTGAGCGGCGCTGCCGAACCAGAGGAAGGCGAGGTGGCGCTGGATGACTCTCCTGTACCGTCCACGAAACCTCGGACGCACAAGGACGTGCGCGCGGTCATAGACGCTCGATATACTGACATGCGACATGAGATGATGGATCATTTCGCCGAGTTGAGCAATAACCTGGCAGACCTTATCAAGGTTGCCATTGAGGATGCTCAAGAGGAACATCGAGCCAAGAAGCGCAAAGCATTCGAAGCTGTTGCTGCTTCGAGTGCTCCGGAGGATAGGCAAGACGCGCCTCTCGCCGCCGCCAAGGAACTCGTTGATGCCGTATTCGGTGCATTCAGACCCGCAGAACTCGCGACGTCCGACTTTGCGGGCGAGCAAAGGGAGCAGGACACCTCGGCCGGCACAAATGCGGCGGCGGGTACGGCAGAATCGTCGGATCGGATTATTGCCCCCTTACCCAGAGCTGCATCAAAGTCGCAGGCCACTGGCCCTTCGTCTGCCCAGCCCGCAAGCGGGCAGGCCGCCCAAGGCGGTAGCGCGCCCTCGAACGAAGCGCTTTACAAATCTCTCGCAGAGGAGCGAAAGCGCAACGACGATCGATTCAGCAACGTGAGCAGGGTGATGACGATGATGCGTGACCTGCATCGGGAGGAGCTAGAAGGCCTCAAGACGTCGAACAAGGCGCAGAAGGATGAGATCGAGAAGTTGCAAGCAGAGATCGCACGTCTTGGGAAAGCTGCATCTGCTGGGCCGACCGCGACGCTGAACGGCGCTCCAGCTGCGCCGCCGCAAGGAGAAGCGCCCGCATTGTCGGGCACGACACCAGACGTCTCGACGCTGCGCGATAGACTGGACGGGCTGGACAAATCCCTGTCGCAATGCACAGAGGATTTGTTGGCAGTGCAAGAGACTTGCAAATTTGTTCCGCGCTTGAATTCCAGGTTGAACAAGCACAAGGAGATGATCGACATGATTGTGGAAAACTCGAAGAACACGAATGCAGACTTGACCTACATCACTGCGCTCTTTGCGGGCATTCCGGAAGTCTCGAATGAGGTGTTGCAGGTCGCCCCGAACGGCGCCGCTCCTGCGGCCTCGAATGGAGCTGCGCCCCAACAGGTGCCTAGTGGTGTCGGTGGTGATTGAGACACTTCTGACGGAAGCTCTCGCCCGCATAGCTCGACTTCGACTTTACGCTTACCATTGCGCATTCACCTCACAATGCCTCGCCTGACATTTCCCTTTGTCAACATTTTACTGTACTGGTACCCCGCCCTGTATTGATGTGATGTTGTCCTCACAGCGCACGAAAGCTGCGGGTTACACACAGCTGAGCGTGTGCCTGTTTCGTTTGCAGGAGGATATGCGCAGAGGATCACGCGCCGACGTTGCTTGGTTGCGGAGAGCAGTGGCGACAAATTTTGCGGAGACAGATTCAAGGGTGTTTGTGAATGTCGAGCAGGAGATGGAGCACGACTTGCAGGTGCTTTATAGACCTTTGAGTGTGTGAAATGGGCCACCAAGGCGCATCATTCGCGCATTCCACTGCGATGTGATCAGATTCCCCAGCCTGAAGGAGGAAAATGTATGTGGTGATGGCTGAAGAGTGAACGGGTATGCTCGCGTTTTCCGTCTGACTGAATCGATGCTTTTCGACGCGGCCAAGCCGAGCTGCTTAAGCTGCGTGGTGCACGCAGCTGGGACGCATGGCACCGTGCGCGCGGAATCGTTTGCGCGGATGAGCTAAAGCAGCGCGCAGAAGAGTCACGAGTGATGTGGGCCCATCAACTTCATCCTGAGCCTTGCCCTTTTTTTTTCCCACCGTATTCACCTCTGACTATCGCGACACGTCAATCGTCCATTCAGACGCCCCAATTCTACGCTCGGAGCTTTGCTGACCCAAACGTCCAACTCACGACTTATTTTCGAGATGGTGAGTCTGAAAGGAGAAAAGGCGGGGCATGCATGCAGAGAGGAGGAGGAAATTGAGAGTTCTTGCTTTGACGCCGATCGGCCTTGCGGGACGTCATCTGCGTTTGCGCATGTGATTGGCCTGAGACTCGACAACACTGTGACTGACGTTGCATATATGCTCTGTCCCTTTGACATGCGCGCTATCCCGTCGCTGCGATCCATGCACGTCTGCCGCGCTGTAGTCGGAGCATCCAGGTGAGTGCTCTCGGCAGCTAAGCAGGCACGCTCACGGCATGCCTCCTCAATAAGCCAACGCTTCATTGTCCGTCGCTTCAGAGAGTGCATAACTGGATTGACGCTTGCACCATCATTTCCTCAATTTCTCTCCTGGCGCAGCTTACACCATGGCAGCCCTCTGCGGTATCGGAGGCCTGATCGGGTTTGCAAAGACTAGATCTGTTCCCTCCATCGTTGCTGGACTGGGTGTCGGTGCGCTCTACGCTGTGGGTGGTTATCGGATCAAGAGCGGTGGAGGTGAGTCCACATCGAGGCGGGTTGTGTGTGTATGGTGGGCATTGGCTGTATCAGAAAGCTTTCGCACGAGACTGAATGTTGGCGTGACGAGTCACCTTCGCCACAGCATTCGGTAAGATGGATTGCATGACTGACCTTGATCCGTTTGCGCTCCGCCTCGCCTCCTCCTCCTCCTCCTCCTCCCTCCTCCTCCTCCTCTCTCTCTCTCTCGTTCTTCGCTCTTGCCATCTCCAACAGACTACGGCTACGAAATCTGCGCAGGCGCATCTGCTCTTTTGCTCGGATCTTCCCTGCCTAGAGCTCGTAAAGGTCCCGTACCTGCCGGTCTGAGCGTAGCGAGCACAGTCGCTGGAGCCTACTACGCCAAACAGGTGAGTCTGGTGGAGACGGGCTGGTAGGACAGCTACTGGGCTGCCTCTCAAGTGGCTAAGAGGGGACCAACGAGAGGTGACAGATATCGCGCTTGAGGGCATGTCGGAGTCTATGGAGGCCGCCAGCTGAACATCACATCCCTCACCTCGCCCTCCTCATTTTACAGGTGTACGACTTCCGCATTCGCTGAGCGATTTGAACAATACCGCTCTCCAAAGCCACGTTTTCATCTGGCATGCGACGCGAGATACCGGGAATCGCTTCAACACCTGCAATGCGATGACATGCGATGGGACTCTCTCTCGCGCTCGATTGAACGAAACAAAGTGACGCTTTCCAAAGCCGAAGCGCACAGCCCCAAAAGCACTCGTGGGCGTGTTCGCAGCATATCCGTGATTCAGGCGAGTCTGGAAAGGCTCACAAGGTCAAGTGGTACACGATCTCATTCCGCGGGTGAAGGGAGAAGATACAGCTGGCCATGAGCTTTGCTACATCGGGGGAAGAGCTTAGAGAGCCCAGGGCGGAGAGTGATGCGAGGGGTAGTCCTGGAAGCCTCGTCGCTGAGCGGGACCAGCGAAGAGGGGGAAGATTGGTACAGACACATTGCCCACCCTGCATGCAACAGCAAGTGAGGAGGCGGAGCGCATCCTCGCGTTAGGGCGTGGTGCTGGGGCGCGACTACAGACAGAGGCGGCGAAGTCAGTGAGATCATCGGCGAAAAAGGTGAGGCCTATGAGATGAACGTGTGCCCTTCCAGCTAGTCCGCTTGCCCTCTCGTGTTGAGTGGGGCAGCCTCTTCCTAATGCGAAGGCACTCACATCGAGTCGCTCAATGTCCGATTCCATTCATGTTCATTTTTTCGCTCCTGGCTTGTTCTGTGATGTCGGTGGTGTCGAGCGAAACCGACGAAGCGGATCAGCGTGCGTGTACGAGCACGTCCAATAGACAGTCCACTCACTTTGGGGTTCTCGGGGCTCTTGGCCCAAGCAGCACCGATGAGCTTCATGCGTTCCTGGGCGGGGCATGTATGCGACGGCAGCGACGTTAGCAAACCTGTTTGTATGCTAACTTTCGGCCTTCCGATAAGAATCTACGTCACGCGAGTCGGGTGGGGGTCTTGGGCGCGATGTCTATTCGTCCAATGGTTGAATTAGGACGCGGCGCTCACCTGAGTGGTACCCTTGGGGTGCGTCTGCTTGAATTTGGCGCTCTCCTTTTTGACAAACTTGTTGTAAGCACTCCTGTTCGAGCCACAAAGGCGGCATGGATTAGTACCGGCGGATGAACGGGTACGTGTGCGCAGCAAGGCTTGTGACTTCCGCTTGTACGCGGAGGCGCTACTCACTTCTTTACCATTTTGAATATGCTCGAGGGGTGGCAAGACTTTTGAAATTTGAGAGTGCTGGTACGGCTGGGTGCTGTAGAGGTTGTGGTGGTTGGAACGCAAGCGGTTGCTTGTGACATGGCGATGGAATGCAGCCTAGAAGGGGTCTCCGTGTGGGGAGCACCGTCTCCGCTTCGGTTCAAATATCCACCTTGCGCGTGTGGTGTACTGCTCATGTGCCTTAGGCTACTCGCGCATCCGAGCGCGCGTCTTCGATCACCCGCCGACGCGCTCTCGCATACTGCTGCACCGCCATTCGTGATTGCGCACGGATCACTTCGCGTCGCGTTGATCTCGCATGCGCGGCGCGCGTCGGCCATCTGGCCCGCAACTGCAGGTGTACCGAGTGACTGACTGACTGTAGATCATGCACGCGTGTGTTTTTGACTGACTGTAGATCATGCAGGCGTGTGTTTTTGAATAAGGCGTGCCCGGCCTTTCATGGTGTGCCATATATTTTGATTGGTAACGGAAATCGCCCACAATCTCAAGCACGGTGCACGTCGCCAGCATTCTGACAGTTGCTACAAGGCCCACCCACGGCGCTAGATGCTCGAAGATATCGCTGATACATGGAAGGCGAGTGGTGGGGCCGTTCTGGCCGGGGGCTCTCTTCTCCTCGAAATCACGAAATTCAATCACAAATTAAGAGTGAATCATTCAAAATTGAATGTCAGTTCAATCATGGGTCACGGGCGCAGGAGCGCGTGACTGCTGCCAGCGTCAAGCGAAAATCGCATCGTGGACAAAGTCACGTGTTCCCTTCCGAGACAAATTTGCGGATAAGTGTGAGTGCTGGGCAGAGCGCGTTCAAAGTTCGGAGACAACGGCATATGCGGACGTACAGCAAAGCAGCCCAACATGACTGTACGGCATGTGGTGCCGCACCAGTGAGTCACCAGGCGTGCCTGATGCAGGCGGAAGACTGATGAGGGGGGCGCGTTCCCTGTGTGTGACACCCACAATTCTCTCACCACCATCATCCATCCGTCCATCCACGACGTTCTAGACTCGGTTTGAAAGATGTTCACCTTTCACGAAAGCCTCTCAACGGCCAAGGTCAGCACCATCAAGCAAGCAACGCTGAGGGATGCGTGTCTAGGCGCGCCACGACTGGCACCGTTGCCACATGTCTCGATGCGACAGCAGCTGCCACGACGCTTGACCCCCTGTCGCGCTCAGCGCAAGCACACCTCGAATCTGTGACGCTTTATTCTTCCACCGCCTTGTCGAGCTTTTCGCTGTTCAGCTTTCCCTCGGGGTCGTTCGCAGTCCCTCGGCTGCGATCCTTCTAGCACACCTTGACCAGCTGATGCGCGTCAGCTTGCCAAGGTGGACTAGATGGATCGCAGCAGATGGATTGCCGGTTGCTCCGAGCGAAACATAGACCGTGCAGTCGTGGGACCAAAGCCTCGGCGACACCCTGGATGGACCGTGAGCAGTCGCCGTCGGCGAAGGCGTGGACAAGTTCGATTTTGCGAGGCTGGGTGGTGGTTGGTGCGGGAGGCGAGCCGAGCGAGCTGAGCGAGCTGAGCAACATCTCTGGCCCCCGCTTTCGACAGACATCGGTCATCCACAATCTTTTTGTACCTTTTCTACGGACCTGCGCCCGCTGATTGCCACCCCCGTACTGTGTCCTCTTGAGTCCCCCTTCAGTTAAAAACTAGGCCACTTCCTCGAACACTCTGTCGTCGTGTAAATATTCAACACCACTCCGCATAACGAATCGTCGAATTTGTGTCCAAGTTGGGTATGTTGAATATAGCAGAGTCATAGAAATGTATCCTCTCCGTGCGACTTATTGACGACTGCAAGAATTGTGCAGATTTGCTGCTGTGCTCACCGTGACAACATCGGGATCTGACATGCCGACCAAATATCGAAGGTACTTCGTTCCTTACCTTGGTGCCTGCCTCGGCCGCCCCTTCTTTTTCAACTGATCACGCACTCCTGCGCTTACAATCAGAATCCACGAGTTTCTTTGGAGGTGCCAATAGGTTGGAAGCAGAGTGCGGATTGAAGCGTTCTTACCGCGAGGTGCAGTACTAGTGATGCTCGAGGTAAGAAAGCGCCATGTCGACATTTGTGTCTCTGCATTTGACGCGACGCAAAGCCACGCGCCATTGTATATATCTCACCTAAAAGTGTGCTCGAGCCCTCGAGTACAGCGCATGGATAATTCATCACCTCCGAAGCATCCTGAATGCGACGAGCTACTCAATCCAGATCCTCTTGTATATACAAAGCGGCCGATGGAACAGGTGGCGATCGAGGCGATGCCGAGGACGGGGAGGCTTTAGGCGCGCGGGAAGCTGCGCCACGTGGCGTTTTTAACGGGGTGCAGAGGCACAGTCAGCTCGTCAAGACTCGCGGCTGTCTGATTTCTCGACTTTGTTTGGCTGATGGAATGCTTAGCCCCGATGCACCAGGCGGCGCATGCGCAGGGCGCGACGCGTTGTTGGGCCACAAACTCGACTGAGTGACTGTATGCAGGCCCTCATATGCACACAGATGCCTCGTATTTGATGTCCCCAATCGCGACCACGCAGCCACGACTCAAAGTCACGAGTGCCGACACAGAGGTCATAGCCACACGACCATCTAGGAGAGCTGCTCTCGGAACTACGCTCGTCTCCGCTGCCATCGCTTCCGCAGCTCTTCTAACAGCTTCACCGACTGCCCGACAAGAGAAGCGTACGCATGGTCGCAGCGCGCTCATCCTAGCGCGTCGGTGCTGCTCGGCCGCGCTTACATGCCTCACTCAGAACACTACATCCCAGTCTCATCTGGTCAGAAAGGGCGGCGTCGATCGACGGGATGCCTGCACGGAGACATCAGTCTGCGACGGAGAGCGAGTACGAGTCTGGGCCTGCGGAGAGCGAGCAGGACGAAAGCGTGAGTGTGCTGTCGCAGGTAGCGGGTGGAGGTTCGTGTCTTTACGACTGTCTCGAAGCGCGTGCTTACATCGCCTGCCACCTCTCTCGTCAGACTGTGGACGCTCTCATTAGCCCACGTGCGCCAAACGGACACTCCGCTTCTATGAATGGTCGGCATACCAGGCCTGGCCGGGAAGCGGCACGGCCTGTAAAGAGGATCAGAAGAGCTGCCGACGAGAACTCGTCACAGACTCCGTCGCACGCGACCTCAGCTTCTCCAAATGGTACCACCAGCAGTCACGGACAGGTGAAGCCAGATCTTGAATGTGCATTCTGTGGGAAGGTCACTCTGCTGGACACGACCAGCAAGCCAGAAGAAGTGATCAGCTGCGCAGAGTGCGGCAGCAGCGGTGAGTGAGAGATGTGCAGAGCGAGCAGCTAGCGCAACGCCATACTTATTGCTATCACATATTTGCAGGGCATCCTACCTGTATGCGCTGGGGAAGAGCCACTCGCAAAGTCGCAGTTGCTCGAGAGTACGCTTGGAGGTGCATGGAGTGCAAAACCTGCGAGGTCTGCAGTGACAAGGGGGACGATGTGAGTTCGATTCGTGCCCCTTTCCAGGCCTTTTCTGAACAGCTCTTGGCATTGGCTATAGGCGCAGATCATGTTCTGTGATCGCTGCGATCGAGGGTGGCATCTGTACTGCCTGAGTCCTCCACTGACAAAGGTCCCCCTAGGTGAGTCGCCCGTACAAGCATTCAACATAGTCACAGAGCTCATTTCGTGCGTCCTTCGCACTCCCAGGGAGATGGATCTGTCCCACATGCCGACAGCTCGAGGCGCATGTAGCCCACTTGATGGATTCTGAGGACTCTTCTCGCGCCAAGCTGTCAAATGGACACCAGAAGCAGTCGCGGAAGGCGCTCCTTGCGAGTTCATACGGCATCTGGGAGAGCGGCAATGTCGCTGTGGGGGGCAAGTACATTGGGCCTTTGCGAGCAAGCTCGCCTCTGCCTAAAGCCCCTGACGGTCCTCAGACACTTGCAGACGCCAAGGCCGGCGTGCGAGCTAATGGCCTAGTCGCTGGCCTTCCGGCCGAACAGGAGACAGTAGACGAGAGCAACATGGGCAAAGGAAGACGTCTCCGCAAACCGACAGACCCGGAACGCAGCTTTGAAGTAGGCGCGCGTGCAGGCAGCTCGTCCGCGCCCACCAGCCCTCATCCCAACTCTCCAGTCGCGTCAAACACTTCAAGAGTGCGCAGTGCAGCAGGCTCCTCGCGAAGCCAGCGTAAGTCCCGCATGCGAGTATCCGATGAAGAAGACGAGGATGCCACGATTACTGCCGCTCCTTTCGCGCGCTCCCACCGCGCTGCAGCCGCTCAGTCTGCCCGGCGCTCCCGCACCATGCAGCAAGTCATCCCACTGTCAGAAGATGATGCAACGTCTGACGCGGCGAGCTCGCGGACGGGCACGAAGGGCGATGCTAGCGGTAGTGAGGTGGGCGAGGGCGAGAACAAATCGCGTTTGAACGCACGGCCAAAAAATAGGAGGTTCAAATTGTCATTCAAGAGACAGTCTCAAGAGGGTAGCGACTCCGAAGATGGTCAGCATTCGGGAGCACCGCAGCTGAACGGCGTGGAGAGCCTTGAGCCTGTGGAGGTCGTGGAAGAAGAAGAGGAGGAAGAGAGGGACCCATTCGGTGGCGTGCTAGTTGGCGCAGACGCAGACACGACTCGCACTAGACCAAACCCAGACGACCAGGCGCGCTTCGAGAAAAGCAAAGTGGATGCAGAAGTGAGTGCTTGATGCTTCGACCGCTCGACGGTCCAGCAACTGAAAGCACTGTATTCACGTCACAGCGCCAACTCGGTGGTGCTGTCGCAAGTCTACCGGGCACTAGCAGCGGGCGCCTGTTAAAGCGCCCAACAGGCTACAATTCGTCGGCTGCGGGCTACTTTGCGGGCTCACCTTGGGCGGGGACCGGCTCGATGTCCGAGGCCTCCCGACGCAACGCTCTTGGGCCCGCTGCAGCTCCCAGCTCTCCGGCCTTGCATCCCCTTCCCGGGTCGAGCAGCCAAAATATCCATTTCGGCCACGCTTCCACGACGTCAGCTGGCGCTGCCGACACGGGCGTTGCAGCTCCAATCAAGATGATTCGCTTCGCAGATTTTGACATTGATACGTGGTACCAAGCACCGTACCCAGAAGAATACAGTCTTGTGCCAGATGGCAGGCTATGGATATGTGAGCATTGTCTCAAGTACATGAAGAGTCGATTCATGGCAATCAGACATCGCGTGAGTACAAGGGGCGGTGGAGCAAGATGCGTACACTTTGCTTACGCTTCACATATCCCACAGACGAAATGCAAAATGTCACACCCTCCTGGCGATGAGATCTACCGCGATGGCAATGTTTCCATCTTTGAAGTGGATGGGAGAAAGAACAAGGTACGTGAGAGGAGCGCTGAGCTTGCAGGCCCACGTGCTAATCAGTTCTCTCGCGCAGATCTATTGCCAAAATCTATGTCTCCTCGCAAAGATGTTTCTAGACCATAAGACGCTCTACTACGACGTTGAACCATTTCTATTCTACGTAGTGGCGGAAATGGACGACCAAGGGGCTCACTTTGTCGGCTACTTTTCGAAGGAGAAGCGCAGCCCAATGAACTACAACGTCAGCTGCATCATGACCCTGCCCATTCGTCAGCGTCGTGGCTGGGGCAATTTCCTCATCGACATCAGTGAGTTGTGGCGAAGCGCTGTGAGCAGTGCCCTGTCAACGCTAATCGCATTTCGGACTCCTAGGCTACTGGCTCTCAAAAAAGGAAGGCAAGCATGGCTCACCTGAAAAGCCGCTTTCAGACTTGGGCCTGCTCAGCTATCGCAATTACTGGACGTTGGCGGTGTTTGCTTTCCTGCGCTCGGCGCCAGATCGTGTGAAGCTTGAAGGTGAGTGCGTTGCATATCATGATGGCTGACAGCAGCTGACCGTGATTGCGACTCTCAGATATCACCGCCGCCACAGCTATGACTACGGATGATGTTCTGTACGTATTACGCGAACAGGACATGATCACACTACATACCGCCGGGTCGAGCAGGGTGAGGACGCCTGCAACGGCCAAGTACAAGTCTCGTGAAGGGGGCGATGCGTCCCAGTCGCCAGAGAGATCTAGCAGCGCGACGCGAGGTTCGAGCCGCCGCGGTCGCCTGCGCGGTGTTGGAGCAGCCAATCGGGCAGCCGCAGCACATAAAGATAAAGAGTCAGCTTTGACCATCCCGAAGGACTACAATATACATTTCGACCGCGCGTACATTCAAGCTCACTTGAAAACGTACGAGAGCAAGGGGTACCTCAAGGTGCGACCAGAAAAGCTGCATTGGACGCCATTCTTGTTCACCAGGTCGTATTCTCAGCCTGCTGCTCTTCCTCTGCCTACCCTTGACACGACCGTCGACCCAGTCGCAGCCGCGACTGCCACGACCACTGATGAGGCAGCGTCCAAAGCTGCGGGAAATTTCGGCGGGGAGCCCACGACCTGTGCTAATGATGACGACGTGAAAACGCCAGGGTATGCTGTTGCTTCGCAAAGAAGCCCTTCTGCCCGTAGCACAAAGCACGGCGCGAGCAGCAGCCCATCTCAACGAGACAAGCGGCACCCCGCCCAGGACTTGATAGACGATCAAAATGGTCCGCGCATCATTGTGCCGAAGCAAGATCACGAAAAGGACATCTCGCCTCTTCACGAGAAGACATTTGACCTGACGAGAGCTCAAGAGGTGACTGAGATCGAGGAAGCAAAAGCGCTCGATCGAGCGGAAGCATTGGCAGCCGCTGAAGAGCTGCAAATCGCCGGTACCGACGACGACATTGATGCCCCGCACGAGTCGGACGAGGAGTACGCTGATATCGATGCGGAGGGTGAAGAGGAGGAGGGGGAAGAAGAAGGAGAAGAAGAAGACGCGGATGCGGATG